AGGCAAACATTTGCGACCCTCTGAAAACAGCTGTTACCCATTTTTGGGTCCCGAGTCCCGACCCACCAGTTGAGAACCACTTCTCTAAATGCCTAGCTGTCAATCAACTGAGTCTCAGATTTAGTCATTTTAATCACACTACTGTGACTACAAAACCAAAACCATTTACCTTGTTATGATGTTTAATAGTGTTCTAGTCAAGACCACACTAACCAAGACCAAAACATACCAAAGACTGGAGTGCTCTGAGATCGAGACAAGACCAAGACAGGACAAGACTGAGAAAAGACCAAGGCCATAAATATCACAGACAAATCCTCATCTTGTGTGCAGGGGGCGTGTCACTCACTTAGATCGTTTAGGCGTTTTCCTTCTTATCACAGTAATGATGTGGAAAAATACCGAGACAAGACCCAGTAAAGATGCTTTTGATTATGAGACTAGACTTTCAAAAAGTGGTCTCGAGTCCAAGATCAATTTTGAGTACTACAACACCAATGCTTAATTAATCAGTAATTTGCATATCCTGCAAGAGTGTACATCTGTGTGCATGTCACCAGAAGAAAACTCTAGATGTAATGTGCAAAGGTTCAGGCAGGAGGCAGTATGTTAGTAAGAGGATGTTATCAGTCTTATAGCTACACAGCAGCTTATATTAGTCTGCACACTGAATACTTACAACACATCATCACCCTGTAATTAACCTAAGCTATATAATTGTTATGAATATGACCATCAAACACAACCACAGCCCCCCTTCAGCCCTTACAAACCCACCAAGCATGACTGGAACCACAACTTAATCCCAGTAATGGCTCTTGTCTTGAACTGAGCTGTTTTATTATTTTGCCCTTTTGGTTCCTCAGTCATTTGTAATTCTCTAAGAACCTCCCTGCAGCCGCTTAACTTTCCCTCCCACCCCTCCCCCCTTTCGTATTTCCTTCTTTTCTCCCACTTCCTGCAATAGAAACAACATAAAACTATAAATAAAACGGCCGAGAGAGACGCTAAGTGAGGTCACTATCTTTTTGACCTGACACCCTCAAAGCGGTTTCTCTTGATGATCGTTTAACAGCGGAGGTCAAGTGGTGGAGCTGTGCTCTCTGTTTGGACTCTAAACACGACGCTGCCCTACATCCTCCGTCTCCTTCAGTCCATTATAGCAGACTGATGGAGTCCTGATGGAGTGGTGACCTATGACCTCAGGCTATATGCTTCCAGACCGGGAGGATGGACCAGACTAGAGGATGTTTGACCTGACCGAGTTCCAAGGACACGCAATCAGCAGATAGAGCTCAAGCAAACACAACATTGCAGTGATAATGTGTGTAATGTTACAGTAAGGGAGGGCGGCTCTGGTTTAGTGTTTAACTGCCCTCATTAAAACTCCTCAATCGGTCTGTTGATACTTTGGCCTGTCCCCTCTATTGTTCTCTAATGATGATATAACGGCATAAAGTTTAAATCATTATAACATTTAGCCTTAAAGAGCTGGTCAATACTCGTTAAAGTCAACCTAATCTGCTGCTGATCCCAGTTTTCATAATGACATGTAGCGTTACAATACTCGATGCACAAATTAAACGTGGGGAAATTTTCAAATCATGAGACTTAACACTGAAATGCACAATACGTTGTCTTAAAAGCTAAAGGCTGAACACTCCGGAGACATATGTGCACTCCAGAGGATAACGAAGCCAAAATTTCCACGACAAAATATGAAATATAACAAAGAAAGGGTCAGGGAATTCACTGATGCCATCCCTGCTCCCTCCGAGTCCCTTAGCTCCACCATTGGGATACATTTTTCATTTTAGCTCCTCTGCTGGATGGTTTTCAGAAAAGATTAATTTTGAGCGTGTCGTACAGTCAGTTCAACACCACGGCCTCCAGGGGCCGAGGTTTTTAGGCTGTCGGTCAGGGCTTTAATCCGTCCAGCCGACTCGATGTGGTGCCAAGTGTCGGCGTTGAGCCACAAAGAGGGATTTACTAAAACCAAATGTGCCAGAGGACAGCCCTCCCAACAAACACAAACACAGCAAACCCAGACTGAACAGCAACAAACATGCAGCTGTCAATCAAAGCCTCGGTTTGTCTGCTTGGCAAAGTTTCTACATAAAGGGACCATCTGTCCACGAGATAACAGCGCAAGTACAAGAGAACATTTTGTCTTAAACCTATATGATAACTATATGACAGTAATATTGTTTTGGGGTTGTTTTCATTGTTAAATAAAGGTGAGTTAAACAAAATGGCAAAGGAATAGTAGCTGTTGGGTTTAGGTTTCAGCTAAATTGCAAAAAGTGAACCAACAACATGCGGTGTACCTCAAGGGTCAATTCTGGGCCCGTTCTCTCTCCACGTTAACTTATTATTGGTCTATAAAAAAGTTAAAGTCTTGTATCATCATCAATGTATCATCATGTAGAGTAAAGGATATGTAATATATCTTCCCTTCATTTTCCACATTTAAACTATTACAATACTTTTCCATACCACATGTTTTAAAATGATAAAATCAAAAGTAATTGAGCGTTAGAGAAAAGGGAGAAAACTGCCCTAATTGCACGAACGGATGTCATATAGATGGTAACATTTCAGTTAAAATAGTTGCCAACATCCATCCATCCATCCATCCATCCATCCATCGTCTTTCCCGCTTTTACCTGTTCAGGGTCGCGGGGATGCTGGAGCCGATCCCAGTTATCACTGGGCGAGAGGCGGGAGTCCACTGTGGACTGTTCGCTAGTCAATCACAGGGCTGACATATAGAGACAGACAACCAGCCACATTCACATTCACACCTACAGACAATTTTAGAGGCACCAGTTAATCTAGCGAGCATGTCTTTGGACTAGCTGCCAACATATTTGTGCAATTTAGACAGTGTGCAGGAGTTTGCTTGCCGTCTTTGGTTATTAAAAACAAGAATTTAGTCATTATTGAGTGCCTAGGACTTCAAACAAGACAACAATAACATAATATATCTATTATCAAATGTATTGATACAAAGATAGTTTGTTTTGTGTACTCTAAGTATCAAGAATCTGTCACTTTATGAAACCTGAATCTGCACATTAAAGCCTGAGACAAAACAGGTGCAGTGAAGTCCTGAAATCTCAGGGAATCCAGGTCATCCCTCCCTGCTTGGTGTCCTCATTCCAGGCCTACTTCCTCGGCACACAAAAGCTATTTCGACTCTGTAAATACTGGATGGAGAACACACTGTTTCTGTGTCTCTGCACACAGATTCTTGTATCTCCACGCAGCCTCTGAGAGCGAGGGAGGGGCTGAAGGGAAGGAGGTTATCTGAGGCTGAGAGCTAAAAACCCACTCCAACATATATAACCAAACAGAGAGGGGGGACTTGGGGTTTGCTGACTCAGCATCAATGAAACATCTCCATCTGCAGCCCTGAAACCATGAGAGCTCAAACTGAGATAAGTGTTTATGCAAGGAATGAAATACTGAAAATATTTGATTAATGTGCTGCTGGCAGTTTTCCTCACAAATTATCACTCCAAAGCTTTTTGCCTGCCTGATCTCATTAACTTCAAAGCAAAGTTTTAAATCACAGTTTCATGTGTTTTCCTTCATACCTTCCAGGATGCCAAATTTTTCCATCAATTAAAGCTTGATATAAACATCAACATGCTAAATAAAAAGCTTTGAAACACTCTTACCAATCACTACTATTTAACATCATTTATAAACAATGCTTCATACTCATGCTTATGTGAGTCTGCTTTCCCCACAACCAGTAATTATTTACCATCAAATACCATAATACCATTATAATAGCATAAATGAGCATAGGCCCGACCAATATAGGATTTTTTATATTAGTGAGAAAAAAAACATCTGACACCGATATATAGGCCGATATTCTTCTTAGATCTATCTTCGATTTGTAGAGATATAGATAGATACATATATTGCATTGATCCCTCAGATGCAGTCATCAAATAAAACTGGGAAGTAACTCGCACTCTGAAGAGTGGTAATGCTTTTTGTAATCTATATAGCGCCCTCTGCTGGTGATGGCCAGAAAGGAACTGCTAGTGTAAGACAAAGATACTCAAATGAAATAAATATTGACTGGTGAAAAAAATCTAGAACTGTCAGCCCATATCTGCAACAAAATAAGCATATCCCAATAGTCACTTAATATGCTAATATCGGCCAATATTATCGGCTGGTGAATATTATCGGTTGCGTTGTAATATAGATTACTTGTAGCAAGCATATATTACGCTGGTTCTCTCGTATAAGCGTGTTAGATTATGTATTGTTTAAAAAAATGCTCTGCTCTCTCTCCTGGTTGGTCGCTCTGTCTTCCAAAAAGGTCCAAAAGCCAAAGTTATCCAGTTTAGTTTTTTTTATATAAAATGAAGTTAAACTTCAAACCTGTGCTTTTGGGAAACCTTGAACCAAAACTTGTTTGACATGTTTACTAAAAGTTATTAACTCTGAAGACATACGTTTGAGCGCATTTTTTAAATATTCACAGAAATTTGTCCGAAGTAAAAAAAAACTACGAAATTTCCACACAATAACTTACTCAACAAGAACTACACATAAATCTATAATGAATAAAACTACTACAATAAGATATTAAGAATGTCTTTTGTTCCTTAAGATGTATTTTTTAAGGTTTTCTATGAATTGACGGCGTCTTTCAGTGTGCTGGTTTGTTGTTGCTCACAGGGCTGTGGTGTCACTTTTGATTACGACCAGAGAGATATTTGAGACGTCTGTTGAGAAGTGTGAAGGTGCTGATGTGCTTCCTTCCCTAATACAAACTGGAGCTGTGACAGAGTGAACGAGTTCAGCTCTCCTAACAACATGCTCAGAACTCTAGGTGTGAAAAAAGAGCATGATTGTGTTTTCCTGCCTACATTCTTGCCTTTAACCTTTAACCAGATCAATGGGTCCGGAGTCAGACCTTTGACTCCTGAGGAATCCTAGTGAATCCCCTCTAGTAACACACAGATTCTTACCTGGAGTCCCCTCCGCCTCAAAATACTCGAGTCATCCATGGTTCAGTGAGACCAGGTTTCTATTCCTTTTTGGTTTCCTTTCAAACAAAGCTACAAAGTTCAGGCACTTTCTCTGAAGTCCATCCACACAGAGAGAGAGAGAGAGAGAGAGAGAGAGAGTTACATCATGGGCGTCTTGCTCGTCATTCTTTGTCAACAAATGCACATGCTAGTCGAACACAAAGTGAAGTTATCAGATATTTTCTTCAAGAGGCTGTCCCCCTTTCAGGTCTCTAAAAGCCTTTTTTTTTGTTTTTCTTTGACACCTCTTCAAATGAGTCTCCAGTCCAGCAAACCTGCTTTGGTTCTGTGAAGAAACCCTGTGCACAATTTAAACCTTCTTGTTAAAGTGGACCAACGGTGTAAAACCCAAAGGCTTCAGGGGGAATCCAACAAAAGTTCAAAAAGAAATAAAAAGACACTGAAGAGACGGGAATGAAGAGCAGTTTGGCGTTCAATCAGAGCATCCCTCCTCTCTTTCTCTGTCCTTTATCTGGTTTGTTTTTCCAGCTGTTTGTGGATGAAGGTGCGGCCTGGTTGTAAACGACACTGTCCCGTCCTCTCCTCTCTCTCTCTCTCGCCGTCAGAGCACGTGTTGTTCCTCAGTCGGCTGCTCTTCCATTCATCCGTTCGTCACAGGACACACCCCTTCGCCTCTCTCTCTCTCTCTTACACTCTTCTTCTCTGCTTTCTAACCCCTCTGTTTGTGCTCCTCTCCTTCTTCTGTCCCCCTCACACCCTTAAGGCACTAGTCCAGAGGAGACTCCGCTGCTTCCATTATTCATGGGCGACTCGCAATAGAAATTAATGATGACAATGGGGGCCTCAGGGGGCGGATGGAGGGAGGGATGAGGAGAAGACCAGAGGGAGGCTAAGCATAAACGGGGAAGGCACCAGCTTGCAACCCTCTGGCTTGATTGGCCCAAGAATAAGGCCCCGAAACTGTGCAAAAAAAAAAAACACACAGAGGGGGTCCGAATTTGAAGAGTTTATTTCAGATGCAGGGTGTGGATTGAGTCCACTGAGTTTAATAAAAAAAAAGTCCTGCCTTCTCCACGTTCATTCACTTTTTTTTGGAGAAGAAAACAGAGAGAAAAGGGAATCCACAATGAAACAATCACACACTCTGCCCACGCTTAAAGCTGCTGGACTCGCACAGCGACAGAAAAACAAGAGGTTGTTTGTGTGCTAGCAGCGAGGAGGAACCTTGCATCCAACGCCGTGCCGCGGAGCTCCAGGACTCCCACACACACACCCAGACACACACATGTACGCCTGTCACACACCCCCGTCATCTCTCCATCTCCAAAGTGCTCTTCTTCATCTTCTCCTGAATCAGATTTTGATCTTTGGTGTTGTTCCAAAAAGGCTGCAGGAAGAAGAAGAAGGAGGAGGAGGGGGAGGAGGGGAGGAGGAGATCCGGCACAGCTGAGAGGAGAAACTAGGGAGGAAGGACGACTGAAGAGGATCTCTCCCTTTCTGTTCCTCTCGTCCCGTTCTTCAAATCTCTCCGTCTCGTGTGTTGTTGCTTGCTTAGCTCTCTCTTATGTGTCAGTATGCTCACATGCTCAGACTCCTCCCCCCGTTCTCTCATCGCAGACTCTCTCTCCCTCTCTCTCTCTCTCTCTCTGTGTGGAGGCGGCCAATCAGGCGCGAGCAGAAGACGGAGACTTTGCTTGCAATGAATGGAGGAAGAACGAGTGCTCCGCCTCCCCTCCCTCCCTCCCTGTCCACCACCACAGCTTCACACACACACACACACACACACACACACACACACACACACACACACACACACACACACACACACACACACACACACACACACACACACACACACACACACACACACACACACACACACACACACACACACACACACACACACACACACACACACACACACACACACACACACAATCTGTGCTTTATTATTATGCATGGATGAATTAAATATGAGCGCACTGATCAGAAGCTTGAGACTATTACTTATTCATCATGACGAGTTCAAATGCAATCAGGTCCCCTCTTTAACATTCCCCTCTGTCTGAAAACATGTCGACAGGCAAACAGGTCACCTGAATTTCACCGTTGTAGAAGTTACCCTCAGCTGTTCTTCTACCACAGGACACGATAAAATGTGATAGGATGATACGATACGATGAGATGTGATACAATGACAGGAAGTGAAATGATCGATATGATCGTTGTACGACATCAGAAGGTGTTGCATCGGCTGTCGCTGTCATGCTATTTTCATCAGCTTCACTGCTGTGTACAGGTTGGACCCTAAAACAATCTCTTTGCCTTTTGGACAGTTTGTCTGATAAGAGAAGCCTTTAACTCGTCTTGGTTTCTTGGAAACTGTGAGATGATTTGTCCAAGATATTTTTAAGAGATGGATCCACTTTTATAAGATCACTGACGAGTAATGTGGGTGTTAATTCTAATTAATTAAATATATTTATATAGGATAAATATATAAGGATTTTCAGAGAGGTTTTGGAGTCTAAAATCATTAAGGTTCCTTCTGAATTAAGGACAGGGTGACACAAAGTCCTTCCAGCATCCTAAACAGGACTCTATTTTTAACTGGTGATCCTCTCCTGCGACACACAGACACCCAGTGAGGGAAAAAAAAGTGACAGAAAAACAGATTCAAAGGGAAGTGGAGGCAGAGATTTTCAAGGCAGGGAAGGCAGAGTGGCTGGTGTCCTCCTACGCTCCACAGAGAGCGAGGTACTGATGAGTCACAGCGAGATGAGAGATTCTTAATGAGGGTGGGTTGAATAACTAAGACGAGGATTCAGCTTCTTCAGCTGCAGGGAAGGAGTGTTGGGATTCAGTGTCAATGTTAAGTTTTAACACAACATACTGAGCAGGTCCAGACGTATCAGTAGGTTCAGGATCAGACCTCCATGCGCCTCTGTGATCCAGAGTAATGTTGGTGAAACAGTGTGAGGCCCCGCCCCTCTCTGTCGGGCCCCCTGGCTCCTGGTCAGAGCCTGTGTGTTAATGAGAGCAAAGGCCAAAGGGGCCACAGAGAGGAATGTTCACACAGCCACAATGAGGCCGACCGACACCAGCTTACTGACCGACCGTCTGCTTCTACCAACACGCAGAGGCCGGATAACGAGCTGCTCCACTTCCTCTGAAATAACTCTCTATGTAAGAGAGGAAATCCTTATTTCACTTTACATATACACTCAAAAACATGACAATGAAAGACCCTCTCAAAGCATCGTGTCTCCTGTCACAGATTTACGTTAATCTGTAGAATCAACTAGGCCTGCACCTTTTGAGAAAAAAACAATCAAAATTGGCGCCAGATAGCCTAGCGGTTACTGTATGTCGCACACCCGATGTACTGAGGCATTAGTCCTCGTCGCAGTGGCATCGGGTTCAAATCCAACCTCTGCCCTTTGCTGCATGTTGTCCCCCAATGTTTCCTATCTCTCTTCAGCTGTCCTCTCTAGTAAAGGCATGAATGCCTGAACATGCTGATTGAGAAAGCATTTCTTCCTTAGGTAAACATAATACTTGATTATTTAGATGAACACAATGTGTGTATTTTGTATTCTTGTATCGAGAAAAAGATGAAGAAGCCGTGATTAATCGCACAACCAAAGAATGGACCACAAAAAAGTCTCATCTAAAGCAATTGCTCTATGAACTATGAAGCTCTATGATGGAGAAGAAAGAATGTCAGAAGATTCACTTGAAGATTTCAACGCATTGCTGATTTTATGGTTTCATGAAAAACAAAGATTATGAGTCCTGTTCTGCACAAGTCAAAAGAACAACCTTCTGCAAGACAGAAATACAAACTCTTCAGGGTAAACATTCATCATTTGAGGAGCTATGAAGTGTGACGAGCAGGTGTTACATCTTTCAAGACATCTCAAGTTCAGGAGAAGCTTCTGCTACTTTCACAGTACAGAGGAGAGCCGCGGTTCTCATCTGCCTCAGGACCCACCACCAACTCCTCACTGACAAACAGTGACTCAAGTCTCTGATATTTTTCAACCAATCTGATTTATTTAATAAAAAATGGTGTAGTTTGCAGGATTCAGTCTAATGTTTGGTGGTGGAAAAGATCTGACGGAAGCAATGAACTGAACAAAAAAGCGTTTGACAAAGCGTTTGTCAAATGCATGAACATGAACCTGAGTAAACCTGATTTACGTTGTGACACTTCAGCTCTAAAAATATGTGAGCAAAGAGATTCAAATCATCATCAGACTTTAGAAACTCCCCTCTTATATTAACGTTTATTCCAAAGATGGAAGGGAAAACAAGCCTCCACAGAAAGATTGAAGAGCTTTGTTGTTGTCTTTCACTCGGCTCCACAGACAAACGTTTATCAGCCTCACTGTTCTGGATATTTCTACCCTGAATAAAGGAAGTACAGGATTGTGTTACATTAATCTTAAACCACAGAGAGATTCAGAGAAAGATGAGAAGCTCAGAAACCTGAGACAGAGAGATAGAGAGAGAGCGAGAGAGAGAGATATTTAAAAAGATAGGTTGTTTTCCTCTCTGCTTCAAACACAACTAATTAAAGCAAAAGGCGGTCTGCGCTGTGTTTTATGTCTCTGCTGGATTGGAGGTTAATTGAGGGCGGTGGCCCTGGCTCTCTCCGTCGATGACCAAAAACAGCAAACAGCAGCATTTTCTCTCCTCCGCTTCCTCTAAATCTTTCCCGAGTCTCGTAAAGAGAATAAAAAACAACCCTCGTTTCTGTGACCCCGTGGCCTCTCTGTTTCCGACCTCACAAACACTCAGTCTGTTTTTAGCTGACAGCGTCGAGCTTGTCGAGTCCTGTCAAAAGCAGAGACCCGCATACCTGACCTTCTGCAAGTCTCTGACAAGGACTGTGGACCCAGAGGGGGATCACCTGGGGAGTTACACCCAGCGTCAGTGTCAGGAGAAGCGACGCCTGTAATTGACTCCTATTTACTGACATTTCTGATTGAAAACTTTGAGGCGCTGCAGGATAACCACCCCGCCTCCAAGGGCAGCATCACACTTTAAAGAGTACAGCTTGCTGGACATTCATTAGAAGAAGACGTCCAACATTGTTTCACTCACACTTCTACAAACAACCAAACAACGAGTGATAAGGAACATTATTCACTCTACGACATCTGGATCTTCTGATTGATTTTACAGTAATTTGCTTCCTTCTTTGACTCGCTCTCCGTTCTGTTTTTTTAAATACCGTCCCAAATGACTGGGAGGTCGATTCGGACGGGGTGACTATTATCACAGCAGCTCTGTGTGTGCAGACCGAGCGGGACAGGAAGTCACACATAAGGTTTATTTTCAGAATAAAACACTCTGTTTTGACAGTTCAGTTTGTTGTTGTATTTTTTAAGGTTTTTATACCACATATATATTGTTATCTTGCGTTGTTGCACATGAATCTGTAATTACCGCGGGGACTCCTTGCTCTCTTTTCTCCGGCTATCTAGCGGTGCTGCTCCTTGCTGCCCTCCTTGCTAAAGTGTTCTCCCTTGAAGAACAAGGGAGAAAGGAACAATAACGGAGCTGAGACGCAATGCACACGTATCTGGTGGAAGTTCTGGGTTACTCATGCCAGTTTGGTTGCAGCATCGGGTTTTGTTAAATCCCAACAGAAAAACAAGTTTGCAGTTATTGAGCAGATTGTTAAAACATGTCTGGATCAACATCAGGATGTTCTGAGGATTTTAACTTTTTGAAGGATTTCCTCAACAGAACATTTGGAAGAATAAATGTCTCACACTGCTTTTCATCAGCATCACCATTAGATTAGAAAACAACACCGTCTCAGTCCCTCTGGATCTCTGTCAGGTAAGCTCTCCTCCTTCAGGGCGGCTGAGAGAAACGGTGGTACTGAGCAACAGCAGTGGGCAGGAGCATTTCTCCTCAAGGCTACAGATTTATCCTCCTACACACCTGCTTCATGAGAGAGAGGGATGTGAGAACACCTCCTTTAAAGGGACAGAGCATTGGCAGCTTCCTGCTTAATCAACCTGCAGGTAAACCAATATTTGTTTTAGTATTTGAGTCTTTGAGATGTCAGACATCTTTGATTTTACCCAGCAGGTAATCTCGCTAAAAAACTAAATTCACATGCTGATTCATCCCTGCTAAAGGAACAAGCTCGTAGGGCCTCAACAAACAGCTCTGTAACTTTAAATAAAAGTTAAATCAGTTCATTTACAAATGTTCGACTAAATAAGACGTAGCTGAAATGTGTCTGCATGGGCGTGCCCTCAAACCTGCTCAGTTCATCCAGATTTTCAATATAAAAACATTTTGTCATGACACTCACTGAAGGTTTGGAAAGTCAAATCATTTTTCAAACACACACACACACATAGACACACACTCATAGAGTCCTATGAGAGTTTACAGAGGTCACTTCTTTAATGTTGTCTTTTCACATTCCGGTCAAACATGAAGACATGGAAACATTTGACCTTTGACCGTTCAAAGCTAAATATAAAGAGACTGTTATCTCGTAGCATAGGAGCAAAAACACACACACACACGACTCATGGCTCCATAAATTGAAAGGAGCAATATGCAACTCTAACACGTAGCGTTTAAATCGAGCTGTCTCCCCCCGCCC